AAGACCTTCACCTCACGCCTTATACAAAAACCAACTCAACATGGATTAAGGACCTAAATGTGAATCCCAGAATTATGAAGGTCATCAATGAAAAATTCGGGACAAATGTGAAGACACTAATGATGGGAATACATGGACTACAAAACATTTTGAAAACCACTCAATCAGCTGACGAGCCTGGAGCTGTGAGAAGAACAAAAGATACGTCTGGAATGGAGGACCTACAGGAAAAATACGATACAATGGAGACAGATGGACTGTTACTACGGGAACAAACGGGTCGCTTCCCTAGGAGACTTTGGGGCAGTTGGTCTGGTCCTACCAACGTAGGTCCCCTCCCAAAACTGAGACTCGGAGTAAATGCATGCTCGGATTGGTAAACACACACATCACCGTTGGTGGGGTAAAGGCAGCAATGAAGCGGCGAACTAAGCCTCACAATCTTCAGAGGGCTTCTGTGGACCTGGTTGGGGACCTGATTGGCAAGCAGTGCGAGGAGACCCGAGGACTCCTGGGCCCTGAGTCAGTGACGTGGCCACGGAGGACTCGAGTGGAGAATGGAGCTGCTGGCTGATGGGAAGAGAGGGCATGTGCAGAAGAACACCCACACTTGCAGATGATACCTACCGTGACCGGGACTGGATGACTGGATGATCAGAGCTCAACCAGGAGAAGAAAGAAGGGGGGGTGGGGTTTAAAAAAAAGAGAGATGATTGAGCTGATTCAATCTGATGAACTTAACCTATGCATACGAATGCAGTGACTCAAAAGAGGCGACAAATCCTTACAGCAGGAAACATTCCCACCCCCTCCACACACAGAGTGGACAGAGATGGGCAACTTGGACATTGGATACCCAAATGGGGAAGGAGGGACTACAAAGGCAAGAAGTAACTGGCTTACAAGCTTTCAAGAGGGAACCTAGAACTAGGGGGCATGGAGGAAGGCAGAATCACCATTGAGTACTATCCAATTTGTCTGGGTGGAGCTGATGAAATGAAATATAGATGGGTTACGCGCGATACTGTAGTGAATAATGGTTATCAGGATGGATTGTGAGTGTTGGAAATGCAAAGGTGGACATTTTGTGGCTAGGAAGGGAGCGACTGTTTCTCCAGTCTAGGAGCGGAGGTCTCTGGGACCACCAACGGAGGGGAGCCAAGAGTGGAACCCTACCCAGAGAAACAGGGATGCCTGAGATGGAGACAGGGACGATGACGTGGAGGGATGGAGTGGCTGGGGACTTTGATCCAGAGAGGGAGAGGAACTGTGGGCCGAAGACTTTGGTCGAGAAATAATACATGGAGAGGATTGGAACCATGACAATGTAATGATGTGTGATGGAATGAATGAATGTAAACTAGAGTTCTCTCATGTAAACTATCATATAATTCACAATAAAACATTGAAAAAAAAAAGATGGGAAAGAAGATGAAATGGAAATAGGAACTACAGGGAGTAAGTCAGAAAAGTGTTGTTGCATGGAAGGGATTGGAATCATTTAGATGAAACAAACTAATGATTTGTTGAATGCAAAACTGATGATCTTCGCTGTAAACCTTCACTCAATTCACAATAAAAATTAAAAAAAAAAAAAAAGTGGTAGGAGTCTTGGTGTGGTGCTGTAGGATAAGTACTGGACTGCTAACCTCTAGGTCTTGGAAATCCTATACAAGGTCTCTGAGTAAGAATCAACTTGATTGCACTGAACAACAACAACAAAAAGCATTAATATCTTTCTTTATTGAATAGTTGTTAAATTATAAAAAGCAATTCTTATAACTTACAAAATGTTGAAGTAAAAAAAAAAATATATAGCATATAAACAAGTCATTATGCCCTCACCTCTTTTGCATTCATTACAGGTAAGGCAAACATGTTAACAATGAAAATACATCCCTTTAGACTTTGTGTTATGTATTTTAAAAAGTACATATATTGTTGTTGTTAAGTGCTTTCAATAGATGATGTAGCTGTATCACAATTTGTGTATTTTTATCTTAAAGATAAGCAGTAAGTTATTGTTAAAATGTACTACAGAGACTACAACTGCTGAAAGGGACATAGTACGAGGTCCTGGATGGATTGGGAGAACAATGTGGAACAACATCACATCATAAAAAGACCAGCTTTACTGTTCTGTTAGAGACGGGTGGAACCTTTGAGACTATTGCTCTTAGACATTGTTCAGGCCTGGAACTAAACTCACCTGCATGGCTCAGCTTTCAGTAACAGTAACACCAACGAGAAAGTGGACAGAAACACCAGCGAGCTATTCATTCATTAGAACAGTCAGCCACAGGAGATCAAAAGGGTAACATTTGCCGAAGGATCAAGCTCAGAAGGCAGGAAGGGATAAAAAAGAAGGACGAAGGGAAATGGTAAACATATGGAGGAAATGGGAAGAGTACTCGTCTATTGCGGGGATTGCAGTTATTCACAATGCAGAATGTGTATGAATTGTGGGAGAGTCAGTTTGCTTTGTGAACTTTCACCCAAAACACAGTAAGTATCTATGTAGGTGTATATATTTATAGCTCTATCTATACATATATAGATATATGTATTGTACGTATATATTTAATTATTGTTAAGTGCCATAGAGTTGTTTATGACTTTTAGCGACTCTGTATAGGATTTCCCAGGAGTGGAGGGTGAGTTTGAACCACCAACCTTGTAGTCCATTGCATTAACTTGCAGGACTCTCTCTCTCTCTCTCTATGTGTGTGTGTGTGTATATATATAAATATATATATATATGTATATACATATACATGTGTGTATGTATATGTGTGTGTGTGTGTGTGTTGTTAAATGCCATCAAGTCAGTTCTGACTTAGATTGTACCTGTATAGAGTTTATAAGGAATGACTGGTGAGTTTGAACTACCAACATTGTGGTTCAAACTGATGTTACAGTCCATTGCTTATCCAACAGCACCACACCAGGACTCCACACCAGGACAAACAGACACACACACATGCACACAACACATACATTGTTGTTGAGTGCTTCAGAGTAGGTTCTGTATACAGATGACCCTGTATAGAGTTTTCAGGGAGCGGCTGGTGAGTTTGAACCACCAACCTTGTATTTTAAACCAGCTTTGCAGTCCAGTGCTTTATCCCACAGCACCATACACACACACACACACACACACACACACACTACTTGCATAATGATTTTTTACAGTGGTGAGAGATGATTAACATTATTTAATATTCTTATGCAGAGAAATACATTCAGATCTTAGAGATAATCTGACGGCGTTCCAAAAATACCTGATTGAGAGTAACAAAGAAATGGTGCCTTTAAAAGTCTGGGAACTACAAGGTATAGTATTTTGAACTACGTTATAAGCGTTTCGTAACTGATCACTGTTTTTGTTAAACAAGCTTTATTATGACAATATAAATTGCTTAATAGCAAATAATTTGTGAAAAATATAGATAATATAAATATAACATTAATTTTGTGAGTATTAAAACTTACAAGGTCATTCATTAAGAAAATCATATTTTTATGTTTATAAAATCTAAAATACCTGAGGTGGAGTTAATTTGATATTATTTTACTGAACACACCCCCATGTGTATCAGAGTGGGACTGTGCTCCATCACAGTTGTCACTGGCTGCTTTTTCAGAAGTGGATTACCGGACCTTTCTTCTGAGGTGCCTCTGGGTAGACTCAAAACGCCAACCATTCACTTAGTAGTTGAATGTTTACCCACCCAGGAACTCCATTATGTTAATCAATTTTAAAGTGTACTCTGATTTACTTTCTTGATTTTGTTGTTGTTGGTAGGTGCCATTGAATCAGTACCAACTCATAGCGACTCTACACAACAGAGAGAAACACTGGCTGGCCCTGCACCCTCCTCAGCAGCTTGGGTGCTCTGGGGCCCATCGCTGGTGCCACTGTGCCAGCCCATCTCATTAGGAGTCTTCCTCTTTTCCACAAACCCTCCACTTTACCTAGCATGATGCCCTTCTCTCCTAATAATATGTCCAAAGTATGACAGATAAGTCTCACCATCCTGACTTCTAAGGAGCATTCTCGTTGTACTTCCTACAACACAGATTGGTTTGTTCCTCCAGCAGTCCATGGTACTTAGATGCATCAAATCTTCTAGGGTCTTCATGTTGCCCGTCCAACTTTCACATGAAGATGGAAGTATTGAAAATACCATGGCACCTTAGTCCTCAAACTGACATATTTGCACTTGAACACTTTAAAGAGGTCTTGGGCAGTGGATTTGCCTAAAGCAATCGTGGTGGTGGTTGTGTGCCATTGAGTTGGTCCTGACTCACAGCCACTCTGTAGAGGGTTTTCAGGACTGTAAATCTGTACAGGCCTGAAAGCCTCATTTTTCTTCTTAGGAGTGATTAGTAGATTCTAACTGTTGACCTTGCGGTTAGTAGTCTAGCTCATAATCCACTATGTTATTAGGGCTTGGTGTCTAATACAAATACAGGGTTTGATTTCTTGACTGTTGATAGTGGATCCAAGCAAAACGAAGTCTTTTTCAAGTTCAGTCTTTTCTCCATTTATCGTGATGTTATTTACTGCTCTAGTGATAGGGAGTTTTGTTTTCTTTACATTGAGTTGCAACCCATATAGAGGACTGTGTTCTTTGATCTTTATCAGTAAATCTTTTAAGCCCTCTTCACTTTCAGCAAGCAAGGTTATATATCATCTACATACTGCAGGTTGTTAATGAGTCTTCCTCCAATACTTACGCATAGTCTTCTTCATGTAATCCAGTTTCTCAGATTATTTGTTCATCATACAGATTAAATAAGTATAGTGAAAGAATACAACCCTGGTGTACAACTTTTCTCATTTTAAACCATTCAGTGTCCCCCTTTTCTGTTTGAGTGACTGCCTCTTGGGCTGTGTACAGGTTCCACAAATGAGTGTTCCAGAATACTCATTCTCCACCATGTTGTCCATAGCTTGTCATGATCTACACTGTCGAAAGTCTTTGCTTAGTCAATAAAGCACAGGTAATCATCTTTCTGGCTTCTCTGTTTTTAGCCGTCTAACACCATGCTATATACCTCATTCCACATCCTTGTCTGAATCTGGCTGGAACCTCTAGCAGTTCCTTGTCAGTGTATTGTTGCACCTGTTTTTCAGTTGTTGTGAGCAAAATTTTATTGGCATGTGAGATTTATGATACAGTCTGATGATTTCTGAATTCCATTGCATCACCTCCCTTTGGAATGGGCACAAATATGGATGTCTTCTAGTCAGTTAGCCAGGTAGCTGTCTGCCAAATTTCTTGGCATCATTGAGTGAGTGCCTCCAGTGCTGCATCAGTTTGTTGAAAGAGTTCAATTTATATTCCATTAATTCCCGGAACCTCATTCTTTTACAATACCTTCAATGCACCTTGGAGTTCATCTTTCAGTATCTTTGGCTCTTGATCATATGCTACCTCTTGAAATGGTTGAACATCAGCCATTTCTTTTTGGTAGAGTGTGTATTCCTCCCATATTCTTTTGATGCTTTCTGCTTCACTCACTATTTTGCCCATAAAATCCTTCAATATTGCACAAGTTGAGGCTTGACTTTTTTCTTCAGTTCTTGCAGCTTGAGAAGTGCTGAGCACATGTTCTTCTCTTTTGGTTTTCTAACTCCAGGTTTTTGCATATTTCATTATAACATTTGACTTAGTCATCTTTAACTGTCCTTTGAAATTTTCTGTTCAGCTCTTTTACATCCTCATTTCTTCTAATTGCCTTAGCATCTCTACACTGGAGAACAAGTTTCAGAATCTTTTCTGAGATCCATTTTGGCCTTTTCCTTCTTTCTTGTCTTCTTACTGATCTTTTGGTTTCTTTTGTTATGATGTTCTTGATATCATCCTATAACCCTTCTGGTCTTTGGTTATTAGTTGTCTAGTGGATCACTAATGTCCTGCTGTGGCACTGGGTTAATAATGCAGGGCTGCAAAGTTGGTTTGAACCATGAGGTCAATGGTTCAAGCTCACCAGCTGCTCCCTGGAAACCCTAGGCAGGGTCGCTATGGATTGGAGCCGACTCGATGGCACTTAATTAGCAACAGCAATGTGTCAGGTATTTTCTTGATATCTCTAAATTCAGGTGGCATATGTTCAGAGTCAAATTTTGACTCTCATGTACTTGTTTCAATTTTCTTCATCTTTAGTCTTAAGTTGCATATGAACAATGAATGATCTTTTCCACAGTATGCCCCCCCACCCCCGCCTGATGACCTGGGGCTTTCTACCGTCTCTTCCCACACATATTGTCAGGTGATCTCTGTGTGCCATCACGTGTAGTCCATGTGTATGATTTGTCTTTTATGTTATTTAAAAAATGGATTTTCAGTGAATAAGTCATTTTTCTTGCAAAATTCTATCATGTAATCTCCAATATCATTTCTATCACTAAGGCCACATTTTCTAACTACTAATCCTTCCTCTTTGTTCCCAACCTTAACATTCCAGTTACCAGTAATCACTACATCTTGATTGCATGTTTGATCATTTCAAACTGAAGAAGTTGGTAGAACTCTTCCATTTCATCATCACTGGCTTTAGTTGTTGGTGCATAAATTTGAATAATACTGGTAATAACTGATCTTCCTTGAAGGCATATGGATATTATCCAATTACAGACAGCATTATACTTCAAGTTATATCTTGAAATGGTCTTTTTGATAATAACTGTGATGCCATTCCTCTTCAATCTGTCATTACCATCAAATAAAAGCATGTGATTGTCAGAGTCAAATGGCCAGTCCCAATCCATTTCACTGCACTAGTGCCCCGAGTATCATTATGGTTCCAGTTCCATTCATTTATCATTTAATCACATTTCACATAATCTAACACACTGATTAAAAAGCCTCACATTCCTATCAGGAGAAATCAAAACTAAATCCTATGTTTCTTCTCTCTTTAAATTTTGATCTAATTAAACCATTTCATGCCTCACTAATAAGTGTTTTAAGTGGGAGGACATGCAGTTACAGGTTTGTAAGCACTTTCAGATTCACAACCCACAGCAGATATTCCGTGACCAAAATTTCATTTAATTGAATTATAAATAATTTTTATTTGTAGTTTAACTTCTTTATTATTATTATTTGTTGTTGGTAAGTGTGTCAAGTTGATCCTGACTCACTGTGACCCTGTGTATAACAGAGTGAGCCACTTCCCGGGCCTGTGCTAGCCTTCCATTACTGCTGTGTTTGAGCCTGTTACTCCAGCCCCTATGTCAGGTCATCTCACTGAGAGAGCCTTTCTCTACCAAGTATGATGTCCTTCCTGATAAAGTGCCCTAGCTATGTGAGGTCAGCTCACCATCTTCACTTCTAAGCAGCATTTCTGCTAAGACAGATTTGTTCATTCTTCTGGCATTTGATAGTATATTCAGTATTCTTTGCTAACCCCATAATTCAAAGACATCAATTCTACTTCAGTCTCCCTTATTGTTTAACTTTCCCTCACATATAAGGCAACTGAAAAGACCATAACTTGAGTCAGGCACATCTTACTGTTATCTTTGCTTTTAAACATTTTAAAGAAGTATTTTGCAGTGGATTTATACTGTAAACTATGTCATGGGATTTTCTGACTGCTTCTTTCATAGGCATTGTTTGTGGTATAAGAAAAATGAAATCATTGACAGCTTCATTCTTTGCTGCATTTATCAGTTGTTGCCTGTTGGTCCAGTTGTGAGGATTAATTTTTCTTAATGTTAAGGGGTAGTCTATACTGAAGACCGTAGTCTTTCATATTCATCAGTAATTGCTTCAAGTCCTTGTGACTTCCAGCAAGCAAAGTTATATCACCTCCATATCACAGGATGTTACTGAGTCATCTTCCTGTGATGCTGAGCTCTTCATGTAGTCCAGCTTGTTGAATTATTTCCTTAGCATGCAGATTGAATTAGTATGGTGGAAGGATACAAACCTGACACACCTTCCCTGACTTAATTTTTTTATATTTAGTGTTGTAAATATATTTAAACTATATTAAATTCTCAACCACAGCTCATGTGGTGCTGTTAGGATAAGCTGCAGTGTTGGTTTGAACTGCAAGGTCAGCAATTCAAATCCTCCCTGCTCCTTGGAAACCCTATTATATATACAAGGTCGCTGTGAGTCAGAATTCACTAGATGGCACTTAACAACAACAACAACAATTCTTTCATAAACAAATATTTATTGAGTTTCTACTCTGTGGTAAGCACTATGTTGTTGTTAGGTCATAGTGACCCTGTATAGAGTTTTTGAGGAGCAGCTGGTGGGTTTGAACTGCTAAAACACTGACCTTGTGGTTTGCAGGCCAGTGCTTACCCT